GTTCGTTGTTGAGATTTGTTATTCCAATGAATGGTAGTCTCGTCATTATGGGAGATAGTTTATTGTTGATATTGGTTACGCTTCAATGATAAAAACAATTCATTGAAATATTCTTACAGCAATTTTAACCCTTTCCAGGTGAACTATCTTGGTTAAAGAAGAAATTGAGACCAGTTTGTGGCTTATAGTCAGGATCGAGGGGAAGTTTATTTGATTCTCCATCAAATGGTATCTCTTCGAGAAAGTTTCGCAAGAGAAGTTTTTTGAGAAATCTTTACAAGTGGTAGTCTCTTTATTTGAGATAGCTTGTATTTTTACCCTTTCCAGGTGAAACATCTTGGTTAATGAAGAAACTGAGACCAATTCGTGGCTTATAGTCAGGATTGAGGGGAAGTTTATCTAATTCTCCATCAAATGGTATCTCTTCGAGGAAGTTTTTCAAGAGAAGTTTATTAAGAAATATTTACAAGTGATAGTCTATTTATTTGAGATAGCTTGCATTTTTACCCTTTCCAGGTGAAATATCTTGGTTAAAGAAGAAACTGAGACCAGTTCGTGGCTTATAGTCAGGATCGAGGGGAAGTTTATCTGATTCTCCATCAAATGGTATCTCTTCGAGGAAGTTTCGCAAGAGAAGTTTGTTGTGAAATATTTACAAGTGGTAGTCTCTTTATTTGAGATAGCTTGTATTTTTACCCTTTCCAGGTGAAACATCTTGGTTAAAGTAGAAACTGAGACCAATTCGTGGCTTATAGTCAGGATCGAGGGGAAGTTTATCTGATTCTCCATCAAATGGTATCTCTTCGAGGAAGTTTCGCAAGAGAATTTTGTTGTGAAATATTTACGTGGTAGTCTCTTTATTTGAGATAGCTTGTATTTTTACCCTTTCCAGGTGAAACATCTTGGTTAAAGAAGAAACTGAGACCAGTTCATGGCTTATAGTCAGGATGGAGGGGAAGTTTATCTGATTCTCCATCAAATGGTATCTCTTCGAAGAAGTTTCGCAAGAGAAGTCTGGTGTGAAATATTCACAAGTGGTAGTCTCTTTATTTGAGATAGTTTGTATTTTTTACTCGTTGTAAGTAGAATGTCATAATTTTGGGAAACTCGTTATCGTTAATGCAGATTTCACCTTCAGTAAAAGCTGGTGTATTCTTGAGTATTCTACCTTTAGTGAAAGTCGATAGTTTACCTTCAGAGGAAGTCAGTGGCTCGCCTTCAGTAAAATCTAGTGTTATTCTTTTCTCCCTACCTTCAGTAAAAGTCGATAGTTCACCTTCAGTAAACGTTGGTGTATCATCCATTTCTTTACCTTCAATAAAATTCAGTATTGTCCTATGTTTTTTCTACCTTCATTCTTGAGTGGGTAGTTCATTACCATTATTAGGCAAGATTAATCTCTTCCTCCTCGTTGAACCTTTACTCTGATTGAGTTGAGTTGTTTCCAGCCACAAGTGCTAATGCCAAATATTTGATTACCAGGAATAAGCACTGATACCAAGCATTCACTTACTAATCTAGGCATTGATGTTTATCGTCATCTCTAGGCAGGTATTATCTTCATTATTTCTGTTCGCGCTCTTTTGTTTAGCAGGTGTTAATCCTCTGTGTTGATGTTACTATTTTTTTGTTATCTCCTCTATGAGTGGATAGTTCACAGTTCTCGATTAGCCGATGTTATACTCACTTTGTTGAGTTGATGTTATTTGGTCTCTTCTATGGACCTTACCCCAGTAAACTTGAGTCTTCTTTTCCCCAACAGAGCCAATTTGTCTCCAATAGATTCAAATTTCTGTTCCTAGAGTCATGTTGTTCCCTAGAGATTTATTTTCCTAGGTCGACTTCTTTTTGTTAAGTCTGTTGATTTTATTTTCACTTCTCCAGTGGCGTCTTGTTCACCTATGTGAAGTTTATATTCATAGTCATAAGCATTGCATGGCATCTTATGGCTAAAAATAGGTCTTGTTTTGTATTTAAGTATCTTCAACCGCGTCGAAATGAAGATTTTAACCTTCGTATATCCGTATAGAAGACACTTAAATAAGGGCAGCTTTTATACCCCAATTTTTTCCCCTAAGATCCCTCATCATACTTTGTACATCTCACACATAGCATTGGTCCCATGGTTACAGGATCAAAGAGTTTGGCATTAGGGTTTTTCTCAATGGACTAAGGTTGTTACATTTTTCATGTTGATCCAGCTGTTACTCTCATTATTCTTGGTATGAGATTAGGGTTTTAGATCTCAAGCAACATAAGCGTCTTCGCTAGCAGGGTTCCTCGAGATATAAGGTTTGCTTCATCAGAGTTTCTTCAAGGAACAAAGGCATTAGGGTTTAGCTCAACCAAAGAATTAAGGTTTTTGCTATGTTATGTTTGAGCTTGGTATTAGATCTTCAGCAAAGGTTTGTCATGCTAGGCTTTATCCTCAAGGCTACAAGGATCATCATTGTCTCCTTATTATGATTTCACCGACGTCATTTAGGGTTCCTCTTAATTGCTTACACCACAAGTCAACCCTTCTCAAGAGGCTTAAAATATTGAATCAGGGTCTTCCTTCTATTGTGATACTGGTCAAGTGGTTAAAGTGTTGCTTTGGGGTTTTGTCGAGTTAAGGCGTTTCATAATGCTCAAGATTTGGGTTAAGATCTCATTAAACTTTCAAATGGGGTTGGATGGTCTCTTGAGTTTATAATTCAATTGAGGGTTGAGGTTCGTTAACCAAGCATGACAAAATGATAAAATCATGATTTCTTTGAGGACAAGGTCATGTTGCCCATTCAATTAATTATTGTTTGCAAATTGATTTGGTTTCATTATGATGAAGTATTCATTCAAGTGTTCCATTTCCAAGTGATTTAAAAAGCATGGTGCAAAGTATTGACCTTTAATTTCATCAAGGCATCGGAACTCTTAAGTACATATAATTGTTCATGATGTCAAGAATGAGAGTGCAAGCATGCAAGTGATTACTTGAAATTCAGGGTACAAGTTCAATTTTATTCACAAAGATTGTTTTGAGTTCAAGCTACAAAAAAATCTAGAGGATTCCCCATTCTAAAAGAATGCATTCCTCACGATTTTGCAAGCAAAGTCCTTTTATTCAAGAGGCAATTTCGACTTCATTCAATTTTCAAGACATTATTCAAAGTTTGATTCAAGTCTTATTCAATTATGTTCAAATTGTGCAAGATTCCTTCAAGGTTATTTTTAAAAGTGGTGCATTGTATTGATTCAAGATTCAAAATTTCAAATTCACTTTGCAAGTCAACATTCAATCAAGAGTTTTCAATACCCATGTCAAGTTCAAAACATCAAGTGTCATTCAAGTTTGTAAGACAAAATGAAAAGGTTCATCATTCCATTACATTCTTGAAAGATTACATAAAACGGAAATTACAATATAAGTTCATTCAAGATTGATTACAAGTTAATATCACCATCATTCAAATGATCGAGACACATAGAAAATGCCATTACAAAACCCATGCTAAATTCTTTCTAAACTTTCAAAAAACAGTTCCATATGTGCTTCAAAACATAACTCCACTTTTCTTGCTATATCCATAAACTCCCGCCATGTGCAAAAGATAGCCTAAACGGTCTAGAAAATTCAATAATTTCAGCCCTGCACTTCATTAAACAGCTTGTATCAAATAACCAAACAAAATCCAAATTGGACCTTGCATAATCAGAAATAAACTGTCTATCCAAATCGAGCCTCTTAATTGTTTTCTAACTGACTGACTGTAATATAAGATAAATAAAAAAAGAACTAACAGGTCATAATAGCTTTTCTTCAACTAACTTGCCTGATGGTGTAAATAACTTTTAGAACAGAATATTATCAAATTTTCCAACCAATTTTCCAGCTCAGTTAATCTACTTCCAAGAGAATCCAGTTCACAAATCCACTATAGAATCCAATAACCAACTTTTAAACTCCCTATTTTCCAAACTAACTACTATCAATTTCAATATCCTCCATCAATCTATAACCAGAATTTAGAAAGCCAAGGATTGAGATCTCATTACCTCTAACAAGCTTCACTAACAGAAAATAACTTGGTAACTGACTTCTACAACAACCAAAACAGAAAATAACTTCTAGCTGCATTTATAACTAACTGCCTAAAAACCTAGTACAATACCTAACATGTCTTCTAACTATCTCCCATAACAGAGTCTCATCTAACAAAAAAAATAGAATCTGAAGATCCTAACCAACTACAACTACCCTTAACCAATTCCATAAATGTCCAGCAGAAGAACAACTCTCAACAAACTATAACAGATTCGTAATAGAATTATGGGAAGAGGGTGGTATTGATACATAACAGATAACAGAAATCAAGGGGGAGAGCATGGATAATCGAAAGAGAAAAAACTCACCTCAAGGATGATTATCTGAAAGGAGGCTGCAACTCTTAAGAAGATTGATCATCTCCAGTCTTTTGATGGGGAATTCATCATCGACCTCCACTCTCTCTTCCACACTTCAACATTCAACGGCATAACCATAAAATTTCTCCTCTCTTTTTTCTACATCAACCTTGCTTAAATCATCCTCATTCAACAATCATCTTCATCCTCATTCAATAATTATCTTCATCACCATTCAGAAAACCACACTCCTCTTGACTATCTCTAAAATCTTCCACCTCTGGAATGTTCATTCTCTCTTTCATCTTGAATATTCATTCTCCCTCTAATACTGCTTCGATACTTTCTTTCATATTATCCTCAACAACACCTTTAACATCAACATCAACATGCGTTCCCCCTTCAACCTCCTTCACCACACCTGCAAACGCAATCTTAACATCGTCAGAAGCGCACAGTTACATCAATATAGCAGTATAGCAAAAATGCAGAAGAAGATTGAGAATCGGAAGAAGATCTATGAGTAATAATTTGAAACTGAAAGAAGAAGAATAAAGATTAGAACACATACTTAAAACTCTGTATTTCTCGTCGTTGCGGTGGCGATTGGAGAAGCGCTAGACTTGTCTTTGGTAGGTAAGCCTTATCTTCGAATATCTCATCTCTCCGATGCCTAGTTTCACTTTGTTTAAGTTTGTCCATATGATAAGGTTGCAATTCACTGATATGAAGATTAAACGAGTGAAAATCTGAGCGGAGAGATGTTGAATCACGGGCAAGAAATGGCGAGCGGAGCAAGAATTGAAGGAGATGGTAGTGAACATCGAGAGACGGTGAAGTGTTAAAGCAGAAATTACCGGCAAAGAGGATTGAGACGGATGCAATGAGAAGAAGGATGAGGTGGGAGAGTCGCGGCGGATCCTAAGTGAGAAGAAGAAAGAATATGAATATTCACAACGAATTTAAACCCTAATCCCTTCTTAATTTTTTTATTTATCTTTTTTTCCTTTTAGTAAAAAAGGCTGAAATATACAACCTAAATAATGGGTCGGGCCACAACTATATTCCATAAGCCCAAAATCTACATTTTTATTTGAGGTACAATAAAAAAAAGAGATGCCATTAGACCTTGATGCAATGGGCCCTGCGCCCAGTTTACTATAATACCCCATCAGAATCCAGTTTAACACCCTCCTGACTCTTTCTACGTTCTTTAGTTTTATTTTTTATCTGTTTTTTTCTTTAGTTAAATTTTCTTTTAATAATAAAAATAGAACAAAAATAAATAGAATGTAGATTTTTTTTTGATAAAAATTACAAAAAAATCAATAAAAAATTTAGGCTTTTTGTTCGCTTTTTTTATAGAAATTACTTCCTAATTTTTTGATTACTCGATATTTGTGATTCACCTTTGCCTATTGAGTTGAGTCTTATGCAGGTTCGTTATTTGATATACGAATGTGTTTTGGATTCCGATTGTGATTTATTTTTACATCGATGAAGCTTCGACATTGTGATACGGTGGGAGAACTGACTTGAGGTTTACGTTTGTTTTCGCAAATGTTTCGATTGAGCAAGAGTCGCCACCGACTTTTTATTATATCCTAAGGAAAGGTCAAAAAGCACAGGAAAGACCTTTGAGATGTTTTCTTGGGTTCAGGGAGTAGATTATAGAAAGGAAAGGTATTAGCACCCTTTCTATCCATGGTTATCCATGGGCTCTTAGTTACTTGCTTAGATCACTTGCCTTTGCTTTTCAATTGTTTGAAATGGTGCTTTGTGTGTGGTTTTGAAAATGTTTTGAAAAAGATGCCTTGTCTAGGCAACCTTTGTAATGACTCATGTTTGAGTATATACAAAGGTGTATGTCTTTTTGAAAAGATGTTTCAATGTTTTTGAAAGTTGTTTGGAAGTTGTGTTGTGGTGTGTGTTTTGAAAAATGGCAAGTGTGTTTTGCAAGTTTGATCAAGTAACTAAGAGCTATCTACCCTAATTTACTCAAATATCTTTCCTTATGTTTTTAACCCTTTTAACAGTGTTGTTTTACCATTGTATTTGGTGAACAACCTTGTGTTAGGATGTAAACGGGACGGGTGCGGGTCATCGTATAGACCATGAAAGCAATAATGTCAAGTATTTTGGCAATTTTTCTCGAGGGACTATGATCATTTTGTTTAGGTAACAAGATAGCGTCATCGAGGGACTATGATCATTTTGTTTATTTTTGCTTTGTTTTTGTTTTGCCAAAGTACTTGACATGCAAACATGGCCCATTTTTGAAGGCAACAAGTGGAGTAACCCTAAGGGTGCAAGTGTGCATTGTGTTTGTTTTTCATGCATGTTTATCTTGAATTATGTCAAGCTATTTGTTGATTGATTTTGCATACAAACCCTAGGTCTATCATGGCATAATTTGGAAACTTTTAAATGTGCGAGAATTTAAAGTCCTAAATTATTACAACATGATTATGGGGATGGGGATACAAATTTGAATTTGGTGGATATTTGACAAGGAAATAAAATCTAAATTATTACAACCATATCGAATATACAAATATTTAACATTTATGTAAAAAAGGTTTTCATGTTTGAAGTATAAACAAAATAAAAAGGTCATGTTTTTGATTATTTTTGTGGTTTTAGGGCAAAACCCTAATTTTGAACAAATAGTATTTATTTATTAATTATGTACAAGATTTATACAATAATAATAAAAAAGAAGTATATTGTAGAAAAAAGTATTTTTGGTGTCAAATATTAAATAAAAAACAAAAGGTATTATTTTTGTATTTTTGCCCTAAATATTTAATAAAATATGTATATGTATATATTATATATATATTTAATATGTTAAATATGTACAAAAAATAAAATATTAAATATTTACAAAAATGTATGTTCAAGAAAATGTTTTCAAAATGTAAATAAAAAAATAATAACTGAAAAATATAATATTTTTGTATTATTTTTTAGTTTTTTTTTTTAAATGAAAAGGAATTATATTTATTTACATACACATGCTTAATAAAGTAAATAAATGCCAAATAATTATAAAAAAATGTGGAAAAATATTTTTAGTGTTTTTTATATTTGAGTCAAAAAATATAAAATCAGAATAAAAAAGAAAAATGCAAAAATAACAAATATTTCACATAATGGGCCAGGGGGGTGCAAATGGGAAAAAGGGGTGCAAAAAGCCAGACTGACTCAGGCCCAGCCCAAGCCAGTCATCTTCAACCTTCAGCTTTGTTTGAACAACAAAACGCGCGCGCCTCTTGTACCAATGCTAACTCCTGATTCCTTGACTTTTATGCAAAACTCATAACACAAATATTATAGAGCATCAAAAGACGAATTCATACATGTAAAAAACTTGGATTAACTCTCAAAGGCCAGAGAGAATTTCTCTGGCCCTAAATTTTAACCTAATTTTCCCCTCATGTTCATGGCTAAAATTCTCACAGCACGCTTAACATAAATGAAAAGTGATCACATGTGTGGCTTCAGGGCTATGAGTAGGACATGTTTCATTCACAAACCTAAGCTTAACTCTTCCTATATTGAGAGATAGAAGTCCATGGATTACCTGTTTCAGCTTGACTTGGATAGAGCAATGTGGCCACCTTCAATGGAGTTTGAGCTTTTGTTGAGCTTGCCTGAAGTCCAAGGATGCTTCCCAAGTACCTAACTTGCTTTGAAACCACCTGTATCGTGCTACAGAAGTCCACCTTCACAGCTTGAAAGTAAAAATGGAAAGTAGGGTTAGGGATGTTACAGCTTGAGTCTAAGGCTTGGAATAGTTTCAGTGGATGGTATGGAATGTGTTTGGACAAGCTTGAGCAAAAACGCACGAGTGAATATTGTTATAGAGGTCAAGTTGCAGAACTTGCCATGTTTTGCAGCAAAACAGGGATTCTGAGTATGAGCAGGTCTTAGGGATGAATGAGTCGTGCTTTAGGCTTGTTTTGATGTGTGGAAGATGTTCACAAAGTTTGTTTAAGCTCTAGGTTGCAGGAAATCCAAGTTGGATATGTTTTGCCAAGTTTTTGTTTTTGAAGCCAAAATAACTCAAGTTGCAATGCAGGCCTGTGTACCCTATATCTCTATGCTGCATCATTTACTCTTGATAAATGGGATTTGTGTACAAACTTTTGCTTCAAAGATCTGGCCTGTACCTCAAGGATTTGGAACTTGACATAAAGTATCACTTTTCCAAAATGGCAAGTTTGCTTTTTCCAGTTAAGGATTAATTTAGCATGTATTATCCAAATGAATGAAATAACACCTTAACACAATGGTTAGGAATCAAATTAAGGAGTTTAAACTTGGTCTTGAGGCCTGAAAGCTAGCAATACACAAACTGATTTGAAAATGCAAGTGTTATGAACAAGCCTTGGCCATGAACAAAAATGAGTTTTGGCCAACTTTGCAAATTCGATTCTCTCTAACCACAAGGGTGTTTGAGAAGTTCTTGGACAATTTGGAAATATTGGAACATGTATTAAAATCCATCTTTGTAATGCAAATTGAAACTCCAAGTGTAACCATGTGAAAAATGGCCAAGAAGTTGGACAAAAATCCTGCCTAGAATAGGTCAAATTTCTTCTAAGTTAAAAGTGTTTGGCACCCTTGTTCCAAAAATCATAACTTGAGATACAAGCTTCCTTTGAGAAAAATTTGTGAATCAAATTTGTAGATTTTGCAATGGACTACAACTTTAATGTTTCAAGTTTTGTTTGAATCCATTTTCATCTTGGTGAAAAAATGGGACAAAGTTAGGAAAAAATAAGAAAATTTCATAACTTAGAAAATTTCTAAGTTATGAAATTTTTTCATTTTAAACCCTAATTTGCAATTTTGGGTTTCTTGATGAAAAAGTTTCATAATTTGACATGTCTTGATGAAAAATGGATCTTGGCACTTGATTTTGATCAAAAAGTCAAAGTTTTACTTTTCAGTGTACAGTCAAATTTTGATCAGTTGACTGAAAAATTCATCTGTCAATCCTATGCATTTGAGATCTTTTGAACTTGTTGAATGGGTCAAGATAATGCCATTGAGTCCTTGAGTCCATAGGTGAGCTTGGTTTGCCATTGGTTAGGTCAAACAGTCAAGAATTGCCTTTGTGCAGTCAAAACCCTAAAAATGACCATTTCGCCCTTTTGATGATCTGATCAAATTTCTTGTGGAATTGTGATCCAAATTTGACCAAATGGTTCATATGAGTTCATTATGTTGATGTGGGTCAAAATTCATGAGGTTTGACTGTCAATTGGTCACAGTTGACTTTTCCCCCAATACAGCTGATTTCTAGGTCAATTGTCCAATTGACTGGGCAAAGACTGAAATCAAGGCTTGAAACTTGGTATGGATAAACTTGTGAGTCCAACATGAAGCATGAAAGTTACTTTGGGCACTTTAGATCAAAACATCCATGTGCAAACTTAAACCCTAGTTTGGGTCAACAGTGCTAGGTGGGGTCTTGAGCAGAGCAAACCCTAACTTGATCTTGGGATCCAAGAGTCTTGTGATGAGAAAATGTTGATGAAATGAGAGGGAAAATTTTGGGGTACAACAGACACCTATTCTGAATATTCGATCTCTGACTGTTTGTTTGTTGATGCCAGCTCGTGCGAAGTATTCCGGGTTTCTTTTCTTTAGTTGTGCTTTTTGCGGATATAATTATTTGTTTGGTATTATACTGCTTCCAAGTTATATTTTCGCATTTATCGCTTCTCTAGATATCATCAGAATAGGAAATAAAGAGCGTGTGCTCGAAGTCGCTGTTTAAAGATCTGTAACAGGCATTCCGCACTTCATTTATTATATGTGTTGTGCTTGTGTTTGTTTCCTTTCTTGTTGATTGATGAGTCACTCAATTTAGAAATTGAGATCACGACTTCGCTCTCAGTGCATGCTCCCTATGGAATTTTATCTCTTTCCTTTATTTCTTGTTAAT